GCCGCGGGCTGGACTACACTTCAGCAGTGTGGGTGAGTGAGCCTCGGCCCCGGCCCGTCGGGGTCCCGGCGGGCACACTGCACCCTTCTCTGCAGCCCCAGCGCCCTGGGGTGCGACTCTGCAACTCCTCCTCAAGGTGCGAGGGCGGCCAAAGTTCCACACCTGTGCGGCAGCGGCAGCCTCCGCCTTCCTTCCCACGCATCTGCGGAACTGGGCACACTTCCTTCCGACGGGAGGGCGGGTGTGGTTTGAAACAGCCTCCCTGCCTTCCCTCCCCCGCGCCCATCCCAGCAGATTCTCGACTTAGGGGGACGCGCCCCCAGTTGGGAATCACTTTTCCGCTTTGCAGGTGGGGGCTCCAGAGCATCAGCAGGTGGACTTGAATTTACGCCTGGTCATGGGACTGGGGGCAGGTGGACTTTTCTGGATGTCAGAGCTGGAAGGGACCTTAGAGTTCCTCGTTTAACACGTCATGATAGGAGAGGTGACTTCTGGCCTGGCTAGGGCTAATTAGGGACAAGCTGGGGACTGGTTGATTCTAGTTTCTCAAGTCCTAAAAACAAAGGTTTCTTCCTAGTCCGGGGCTGCCTCTCAGTTCAGGTGATTTCTCTATATTTCGTGCCAGGCTCTGGGTGCTGAGCCACCTGGCCACACTCTACTTCTTGGGAACTACTTACATTGTGCAAAAACAGCTGTACCGCAGTACATCGCCTCCTGGTGGAGTACTTAAGCAGACTGGGTGGAAGAGAGGTAGATTCCTGATCCTTGGGTCACCCTGGGCTTATTCTTAGAAAATTGGGGAGCTTTAGAATTGGAAGGGACTTCAAAGATAATCGAGTGACACAATTCCTAACTCAGATCAGATTGTAGACCAGTTAATTCAAATATTTCACTGGGGACTGTTAAAAAACAAGTGGGTATTTAATGCATAAGGATGCCAATTTATCAATAAAGAGTACCATTAAAAATTTTTTATTCACTTTGTCAGTGTTCATCAGGTTGCAAAACAATTCTCCTTATCTGCCCAGCAGGGTTTTGACTTGCTGGAAGTTATTGGTAGAGTGATGATTGATCCCAGAACTGCTGTCTTCTCTTGCTCTATCAATACCACTTCTCAGGTCCAGTTAAAAGTCGATTATGTTGGCTGCTGGGCATTGTGAAGGATTTAAAAGCAGTAAGATGAAGGCTCTGACTTCAAGGTGCATATAATCATATGTGTACATAATCTAATGGAGATGACAGACTCACAGGTATACATATGTTCATTACCCACCAATTATGGGCCAGCAAAGTATTGGGGAGCACCTCATCCATAATTTTGCGATGCTTCCTGTTTGTGCAATGGCTAAGTGATCAGACAGAAGAGGCCTGCGGACTGTTTGAGTTGCAGGAGGGAGGGATGTGCAACAACTCCCTCTAACTCTGGGGTCTTGTGGTTGTCAGGCAGAAGTGATCCCAAAGTTAAGTTACTCTTTCCTGCCGGGTGTCTTCTTCTCCAGGAGAGGTTTCTGAGGTCCAGAGAATGTGATTGTCCCAACGTCACTCATATTGTGAACAAATTCACGGTTCACATTTATGGAGCCCAGTTCAGTATTTTTTCTTCTTGTTTCACAGTTCAGTAAAAGTCCATTGAATGCCTCTTATATAGAAAGCAGAATACTATATGCTGTTAAGAAATATAAAGATTATTTTGGCCTGATTCTTATATCCTCAAGAAATTCAATTCTGTCAACAGTCAGACACGTTTATAGATTCTGCTAACAGTTTTTGACTGATGCTATTACAACTTACTGTAAATTACTGTAGCCAAGGCCAAATATCTTATCCACTGTACTGAAGGAAATTAGAAAAGAAAGGCCTAACTAACATGTGGTGTGCTTTCATAGAGTAAGAAGTTAAATATATGGGTAAATTGGCATGATTAGTGGAAAATGAAGCATTTCTGTCAGTCACTCTCAGATAGTAGAAAGAGATGAGGAATTAGATACTTGTAAAAAGGTGTTCTCAACTCAGTGTAGTATATAGTTTTGAGTATCGTTTTACTGAACATAAACCCTCATCTTTGTATTTTACTTAAATGCCCTTGTATGGTTTGTGGATGAGCAGAAGAGAAGTAAGGGCCAAGGTTCATTAGGCTAGAGGTAGGGAGGAAGGTCAAGCCAATTAATGATATACCAAAAGGCTTGAAACTCAGCTGTTTGGCTATAGTAGTAAGGGCAAGGGAGGAGAGGAGGGGGTAAAAAGACCCCCGCCATTGTAAAAGACAATATGAGATCATTAGAAGTGAGTAGGGAATGGTAGAGGAACTAAATTGAAAGTAGAACCGGAGGTTGATCTGAGTTTGAGAGAAACGGGCTTGCAGTTGTGTTTCAGCACTGGGGTGGGGGGTTGGATGGGGGTGAGGTGTACCTGGGAAGCAGAGACAAGGACTTTTCAGCTATCAGGCAAAAGTGCTGATTAAGGCCTGACATGACCTGAAAATAGGTCATGTGACTGGGCAGGGGTCCCACGCTGTAACTTTTCTGTCACATAGTTCACAGTCAGTTTGATTTTGTAATCCCAAGCAGGGCTGCCTGGTAAAGAAAAGGAGTCTTTATGCTTTTTGGACAACTTGTAAATTTGAGCCTGCTGTAGGTATAGATGGGAAAGGCAGAGGGAAAAGTTACATTTAAGCATATCTACATTTGGTGAGTTGACAATTCATACAGTTGAGATGCAGTTTTTGAGCCATGACCCAGGCATTGGATTAGGTGCTTTTGTGTGTGTTATTTCATTCTCACAACAATCCTGTGCAATAGGAAGGGATTTCACAGGTGAGAAGACTGACTAGAGATTAATTTGTTCTTTTTAAAAATATATAGTTTTTATTGATTTCAGAGAGGAAGGGAGAGGGAGAGAGAGATAGAAACATCAATGATGAGAGAGAATCATTGATTGGTTGCCTCCTGCATGCCCTCTGCCTGGGATCAAGCCCACAACCTGGGCAGTGCCCTGACCGAGAATTGAACCATGACCTTCTGTTTCATAGGTTGATTCTCAACCACTGAGCCACACCGGCTGGGCTATTCTTTCTACTAGTAAATGGTATTCAACAGACCTGTCAGCAATTGAAGTCCCTTTGTCATCAAGACCTTCAATAAGGATTTTTAAAAGTTTTCCTCCAATACATTGTGTTAATTTTTTAGTTTATTTTTTTGGTATGATTTGATTTTAGTTATTAGAGAAAAAACGGAAGAACATCAGGGATTGGACTAACCACATGTGTTCCCCAAAAGACCCCTGGATTCTAGTCATCTAGAAATCTTAGCCATCTCTCTGTTCTTTGCTTTTATCTTTGTTCAATTATTTTCAATTCCTGTTCAGTTTTCCTTTGCAGTGTCTTCAGTGCCTTTATTTTCCTTTGTTCCCAGTTTATCTTTCTAGTTCCATTCCTCTTCCCCTCACTGTAGGCTCTTAGCTCTTTTCCTACGTCTGCTAATATTTCATCCTGCTTACAGGTGAAGACTAATGATTTATGGCAGGAGTAATTCTTTTTGAACAGTTTCAAATACATTAGGATATTGCACTGACTTAGTAAGTGATTTCTATACACTTTAAAAAAATCATTTGTTGCACCATGCTCACATGTGACTCAGTCCTTCAGGTACTTGGCATCTCTCCTAGTGGGAGTGTGGGTTTGTCAAGATAAATCTGAAAAGCTAATGGCCTCCCCTGCTCCACCATGTTTCTTTGCTGGGAGTGTCTTGCTTTTCTTCTCTCCATTAATTCAGACTTGTTGGAAAATTTGAAGACTGTTTACAGTGTTTGCAGTAGTAATAGGTTTGTTTTCTTGGTGGTCTCTAATCGCATTACTCTCATTTTACTTCATAAAGAAGCATGAGGTGGAAAGAATAGTGGCTGAAAGATGAGAAGAGTGTAAATTCTAAACTGAGCTCTGTCAATAACTTGCTTCGTGACCTTGAACAGACCAGGGCTCTTCTCTGGTACTTGGAGGATTTCTAAGGTTCCTTGGTGTTTAGTTTTACAGCTCCCAAGAGTTTGGCAGCATTGCAGGTGTGAGGCTCTTAGGAAGTGTACATTAGCCATCCAGGCCTGCTCCATTCCACTTCTGAGCCCCCGGTTTGTTTCTGCTTGTCTGGCAACAGTAAGATTTCCAGTGCTTAGATTCTTTCCGTGAAAGATTTCGATTTTATAAGATTCTTGACTCTTTAAGTTCCCAGACCACAAAGAGAACAGTTTTCAAGTTAGCATTAAGCTGTCTTAAAAAAGAATGAAGTACTTGAAGCAATAGTTGACTGGGTCTGTGATTTAGGGCTGTGGCTCTACAACTTGGGAAGAAGTCTGTTGGTTTAGTCTCTCTTGTTCAAGACCTAGGAAAGTAAGAAGAAGAAGAAGAAGAAGAAAAAAAGACTTAGGAGAGTGTTTTGCAGAAACATGCAACAGAAGCAAGCCAAGTTGCTTTTCTAGTTAATGAAAATAAAGAAAACAATGACTTAGTTTAAAAGGTAAAATCTACTTATGGCTTATGGATTTACTATTTTTTTAATCAGAAAAGTACATATGGATAATAAGTCAAGTGAAAGGCAAATGTGACTTTTTAGTTTGCTTTACTTGTAGTGCATTGCCAGTTTTTAATGCAGTCTTAGTTTAGTATCTAGTACACATTATGCAGAGCCTTATATAGTGATTCAAAACAAACAATGTATATTTTGAAAAGGACACATTGTTTTAAAGAAAATACACTTGGGAAGGTATGACCTCTTGTGTATACACTTTGCTCATTGATTTATGCTGGGAAGAAAATTCATAGTTGAACAGGTTTGCTCCGAAGCTAAGCTTATCTCTCTGAGACAGAGAAATAAAAAACTCTCCTAAAGGCACACTTAGGAATCCATACTAGAAATTATGTATGGAATTTGAATGTCCAAATCTTTATTTTCAGTTTCAGTTATTTTAAAAAATATTTAGCAACTTAAAAAGTTGACTCAAGTAAAACATGCTTATTATATTTTTAAAAGATTAAGTAGCATGAAGTTTTATGGTAAAAGTGAATTGTTGTCTCTCTTTTCTGCTACCATTTCCACTACAAATGTTACTGTTGTTACTGACAAATAGTCTTCTAAATTTATTTCTATGCCCATGTGGATATATAAAGCTTAGGATTTTCGTTTTTTAAAACAAAAATGGGATAACATATGTATAAAACTCTTTAATTTATCCTTGGTCTTTAATTTATCCTTGTATTGTGGACATCTTTCCTTGTTAGCACTTACAGATCATACTTCTTTTTAAATAGTACTATAGTATGCAGACTTTTTTTTTTCTAGATGCCTTTTAGAAAGTGTTCCTACCAGGTTATATTAACTCTGAATCTGTATTAGGATAACCTGATAAACATTTTTAAACATCGGTCATTGTAAAAGAATGGTTTAATAGGAACTCTAAAGTGTTTTTATAAATGGCCATACTTTTTGTGCTAATAATATTCTGTGACTCTTTTCTAAGGAAACACTTCAAAATATTGAAGGGAAAGAATCCAAAATAAGGCCAACGTTGTTGTTGTTTTTTAACATTTAAAAAAAAATGTTTTATTGATTTTTTACAGAGAGGAAGGGAGAGGGATAGAGAGTTAGAAACATCGATGAGACAGAAACATCGATCAGCTGCCTCCTGCACACCCCCTATTCAGGATGTGCCCGAAACCAAGGTACATGCCCTTGACCGGAATCGAACCTGGGACCCTTCAGTCCGCAGGCCGACGCTCTATCCACTGAGCCAAACCGGTTAGGACTAACATTCACTAGTTATAAAAGTAATAATCCTCTTAGGAGAAAATTCAGTATTTGAAGAAAAGCATAAAGAAGCAAATTAACCCCTGTAATCCAACCAGCTAGAGAGAACATATTTTTAGCATTTTGAGAGTATATTTCACCATCATAAATTTGCACTTGCACAAATTTATAGTGTATCATTGAATATAGATATTCATCATGTTTTTGAAAGTCTGAATAATTGTTCCATTTTTGGAGATACCATTATTTAACTAGTCCTCTATAAAATGACATTTAGCTTGTTATCAGTTTTTTAATATTTTAAACTGCCACAGCATTTTTATATCTGTCTGCACACACAGTGTATAGTGCTTCTGTAAACAAAATTCCTAGAAGTGGAACAGAGGTGTCTATTTCAGTGGTTATTTTAAACTGGAATGAGATGATCTGTGAATTTCAGGTTTATTAGGTGAAAACACATGCTTCACTTTGGACCATGAATTTCCCTTAAAAAATCTGAAGTATGTAGTCTGTGTTTTTTTTCCCCCTCTCCCTAATAGTGATACTGATTCCTAAGTACAGATAAGGAACAAGAACTTCTTGGAGATTGGTTTTAAAGTATCATAGACTTAAAATCTGAAAGTTTGTACCTTTTGTGATCCTCTAGTTCAGCTTCTCACGGAGGGGCAGATGTTCCTACTTCGTCATCCCTGACTGATGGTCAGCTCTTGCTCAAACACTTTTAGTGGTGGTAGCCTTATTCCAATTTTAGATTGCTGTAGTTTGTTAGAAAGACTTATCCTCAGATTGAGCTGAAATGTGTTGCTTCCTAATCCCACCTAAATTTTCAGAAAATTGTCTGATGCTTTCCCCAGATGAATTTCCCCAGCTATTTAAAGATAGCTATCAAATCTTGACATTTCCTTTTCTAAGATAAAAGTTTCCCTCCCCCGAACTACATCCATATCTCCAATGTTGTAGTTTCCATGTCCTTCTCCTTTTTATTTTTTTTAGCACCACTCTTCTTTCTCCTGGTTAAGAAAGCAGGCTCTGGAGCTAGATTTCTGGGTTCTGATCCCTGCTTTGTCACTTTTTAGCTGTGTGACCTTGGGCAAGTCACTTCCCTGAAGTCTCAGTTTCTTTAATCTGTAAAATGGGAATCATAGTACTTATTATTTTAACCTTTTCTTGTTTTCTTTTTTAAACATACATTAATCTATGGAGAAAACTTGAAGAATTCTGTAAGAATTCCGTAAACTCTTCCATGGCTTAAAAATGAAATATTTTATCTTAAGGAATAAACTCTTACTTCCATGGCTTAAAAATGAAATATTTTATCTTAAGGATCTTTATGCATATAATAGTTTTTGAACTTTAATATATCTTAAATTAAAACTATATGTATTTTTGTTTAAAAATATTTAAATAACATCACTACATGGGATTTTAAATGCCTGTTTACTTCAAAACTTGACTTACCTGAACAGGGGAGGAAAGCCTGCACCTGCTCCTTTGAGCTGCGTCTGCCTTCACCTCATCTGTTTTGTGACCACAGCTCTCATGCGATACAGATGCTTGCACATTTTGTACAACTGTATGTATTTTCATGTGTATATATTTTACAACTGTGTCTATATTTCATTTAAGATCTGGACGTTGGTAGTTGGCTATGTGTTGGCTGTTTCATTCAAGTGGAATGCAAGCACTGAGCGCTACTTGAGAGCAGTTTCAATTCCTGTCTGGATTATATTGCTTTTTCATTTAGGTGGGTCACTTTTTTCTAAGAAAGTTTAGCTTAAGGTCAGCAACGGCAGACCACGCAAATTAAAGTGATTTTTTTTTGTAGTGTTACATGTTACATTTAAAATTCTTTAAAGTAATCTTTAGAAAATGTTCTGCTTTAATATTTTATTAATATTTAATGAAAATGTTATGCTTTAAAATGTCTATCTTTTAATTATATTGAATGCTGATTTACAAAAAGGCCCTTTAAAACTAACTACATCTTAAAAAGTAGAGCACACTTGGACTATCATGGCTATTTCTGAGTGTCATACTGAAGAAGGATATAGATAAGCAGTCAAGTATGATAAGAGGTGCTCAGAATCATATGTGAGAAACAATGAAAGGAACCAGAGATGTTTACTCTGGATAAGAGAGGGGACTTGGGCTGCAGGGGTGGGGAGAAGTGGAGGTAAGAAGAATATCATGGAGGCCTGTCCTGTGAAAGTGGTTTAAACATGTTGGAGAGAGTTAGAGCAGTGAGTAGCTTCAGAGGGGAAAATCTCTGTTCAACAGAAGAAAGATCAGTGTCAGAGCTGCACAAAATAGTTCTGTTATTTGGGACTGCACTGTTAGCTGAGTGACTACTAGGTTGTTATAAAAGTGAGTTTTCAGGGACTCTTATTTCCAAGTCTGAGTCTATGGAAATATTTAGTTCTAATTTAAAAACAAAATTAGTAACCAAGAGCAGTAGGCAGCCTATTTAAAGTAGTTTTTAGAGCTACTTATTGTTAAAAGTTGGAAAAAAAAAAGAGTTGATTGAGAAAACAGGTCTCTGCTTAGAGTCCGGATTTGAGGGAAGCGATACTCTCTAACTTTGCTGACTTGGAATGCTGGAGGAGTTTATCAGCAAGACCCCCTAGTACATGACCTGACTCATTTTGAATTGGAGGAAGGCAGAGGAGGGAGGCAGGCAGGTGTAGGTCCATAAGGCTCTAGACCAGCGGTTCTCAACCTGTGGGTCGCGACCCCTTTGGGGGTCGAATGACCCTTTCACAGGGGTCGCCTAAGACCATCGGAAAACACATATATAATTACATGGTTTTTTTTGATTAATCACTATGCTTTAATTATGTTCAATTTGTAACAATGAAAATACATCTGCATATCAGATATTTACATTACGATTCATAACAGTAGCAAAATTACAGTTATGAAGTAGCAACGAAAATAATTTTATGCTTGGGGGTCACCACAACATGAGGAACTGTATTAAAGGGTCATGGCATTAGGAAGATTGAGAACCACTGTTCTAGACAAACTCAAGGAACTACACATGGCTAATGGGTAGACACTTGTTAGCATTTTTGCATTATGCACTAGGGGAGGATACGTTGAAGCTTTTTGCAGTGCTCTTTTGGGTCTTTCCCCCCTTTCTTGAGACAGTTCACATCTAGTAGTATTGTTAGGAAACCAAGTCGGGCCGCATGACTTTAGGATCCATGCCTTATGCAGATGCCTGATGCAGGTCATGCTGGGATTACTTGGGGGTTTTGAGTTCGGAATAGTCTTAAAAGCTTGATGTGCTTCAGAGAGGACTTGGTTCCTCAGGTGATACAAGCCTATTAAAGGTAGCTGGTACATACCCAATCCTTTGGGCCAAGGGCCTCTGACAGCAGAACTGGACTTAGAGAAGTCCTGTATTTAGGTTTCATCTGTCTGATGGCCTTTTTTTCTTTTTGTAATTTTCCCTGTGAAACAATTTTGTTAGCATATATGCCAAATTGTTCTTTTAAAGTGTTGGGTTCTTTTTTTTTTAACTAAAAATGTTAACTCTTAATAATTTGCAGCATCTCTGGCTGGCTCATGGAGAATTCCAGTATTCCTGGTTATTGTTTTCCTGATGTCTGTGGGCACCCTCTATGAAAAACAGAATGGAAAAGAATCTTCTGGTAAGAAATGAGGCATTCTATTACTATTACTCTTAAGAAATATTGGGGAGAGTAGCTTTGTTTGAAAACATGCTATGATGAAACAGCTTTAAATATACTTAAAATCCTATGGTGTTTTCTGAACAGTAAATTTATTTAAAACATTTTAGATTATTAGACTATACCTCATGCTCCCCCTTATTTGCATTTTTTATTGAGGTATAATTCATAAAATTAACCATTTTAAAGTAACATTTAGTACATTCACAGTGTGTGCAACCATTACTGTTGCCTCATTCCAAGATATTGTCATCACCCCAAAAGGAAACCCTGTACCCATTAAGCAACTAACTCTGTAGTTAGATTATTTGAGATCTTTGTGTTTTCTCAATGTAGGCTTTTATAGATATAAATTGCCCTCTTAGAATTCCTTTTGCATCCCATACATTTTGATATGTTGTGTTTCTATTTTCCCTGAGGAAAAATACTATTTGATTTCCTCTTTGACACATTGATTCAAGTGTGTTGTTAAATTTCCACCTATTTGTGAATTTCCCAATTTTGTTGCTTGCACTAATTGCCAAATCCAAGGTCATGAATATTTACCTGTGTCGATCGTGTATCCTGCAACTCTGCTCAATTGGTTTATTAGCTTTAATAGTTTTTTTGGTGCTGATTCACTAGGGTTTTGTATATGTAAGAGCATGTCATCTGCAAATAGTTTTATTTCTTCCATGCTAATTTGGATGCCTTTTGTTTCCTTTTCTTGCTTGATCTCTCTGGTTAAAACTTCTATTACAATATTGAATACACCAGGTTCTTTTAAAGATTATTTTTGGCTGTAAATGGTTTTTATTCAAGAACAGTTTGTTGAAGATATGAATTTCTGATGAGTTGTAAGGGGACAGCTGAGGGTGGGGGAGCGATAGTGCTCAGGTCATCAGATTGGACTTCCTAGTTGACCAGCCATGTGGAGGCAGCTGTGCCTGGAGAGGTAAATCTGAAGAGCACACAGTTATTACAGTGACTGACATTTGTTCCTTGCTTCTTTCTGATGGTTATACATAAACTAAAAGAGCAAATAACTCTCATTCCAGTCTGCTTCGGAATAGGTTATTCTTGATCTAGAACTTTTTTATGGACTACTAGTCTAGACAGTCCTTATCATAAAATAAATCTTTCAAACATTTTTTTTTCTAAATTTCTGAGTATTTTTTCTCTCTTGTCCCTAGAACCTGTTTCTTATAGGTATCAGAACTCAAACCATCTAGTCCGTACTGGGACAGCCTTTTCCTTTTATTATGGTCAGTTCCCTCCTGTAGATGTCACTGTGATGTAGTTAGGTACAGGACTGCTCCAGTGTACTGCCATGGCAGTACATGCATTTATTCCTCCCCGGTCATTTCCACTGTCCCATTCGTTGCAGGACCTGCTCTTGTATCCCAGTCACCTGTACAGGCATCTCTCTCTGTGTCTTCTGAGCTTTGAATCTTTTGCTGCTGTGGACGCTTTTATGATCTGTGGTTCACCGGATTCACTGAATGAATCCTTTGGATTTCATCAGAACTCATTACCTCCAGAAAACTCTTGTGAATCATTGCTGAGTTAGTTTTAGAGGCTCCTTTTGAATCCAGGGGCCTTACTCAGTATTTTCTCTTAGACCTTGAGAGCTCTTTGTATTTCCTGGAACCCCCAAGATAATGTAGAGAAAACATGTTAAGTGTGTACCATGCTTTTAAATGTAGTGTCTTTTTTTAAGAATGGTTATCTCCATTCTGCAGGTGAAGACACTTCATTCCAGGGATTAACTGGTGACTGGTGGAGCTAAGAGATAAACCCAGGGCTTGGACCCTAAGCCTAGTGTTCTTTCCCTTCGCCAGGCTCCTTGCACAAGCATCAGTCATCCTGGAAAGGTACTGACTGCTGATCCTCTTGAACTCAGTTGTGATTACCGGCTGCTTCAGTCTTTTATGTTGACTCTGCTGTCTTACCACAGCGGCAGGACCCAGTGCTCTGTCTCCTGGATCCCGAAGTCTCACTTGGTAGAAACTTGGATGTGTTCCCTTAGCCTGTGAGAAAAGGGGAGCACTATTAGCAAATTATTAGCAATGAATCCCGCTTGGATGTGTTCCCTTAGCCTGTGAGAAAAGGGGAGCACTGGCATTATTAGCAATGACAGTATGGGCAAGGCCCTGGTAGACTCTTTAAACATGTTGTCTCGTGTAATTTTACTCATGTAAACTTACTCTGAATATGAGAAGTACTTCTTCAAAAGCCAGGCAAACACATCAGGTGTATCTTTAATAGCCTGGACACCCAGCTTGAGAAGTATGGGCAAGTGAAGCTGGATCCATTCCTCCTAACATTGGTAATTGTTTATAAATGACCTTCTAGAACTCTCTTCGCAGGAAGACTTGGTGGTTGCCTTAATTGTTTTAGGACAGCATGCAATACGAGTGAAAATGTTTGGTCCAGTTAAGCCCAAATTGGAAAAAGAAAAGGAACAAACTAGATTTTTTTACTGCTCATCTTCCACTCCCTATTTCTGACACTGTCAGTTAAATAGACATAGAGAACCTCCTCCTGGTACATGTCCGCATCCTTATTACTGACTAATAGTACAATGAGATGACACTGGAAACCATTGAGAAGGAAATGTGTTTTCCACATTAGTAATGGAAACACAAGAATAAAGTCTTGTTTAAATTGGTTTCAAAGTATATTTTCCCCTGATTTAAAAAAATGCTATTCTGCCCATTGCTTATTATCAGATAATATTTGAACATGTGATCTGTTATTCTTTTACGATTTGCTGGATTATGAGTTCCTGTCCCCTGGAGCTAGGCTGCTAATGTCAGTGGCCTGCTTCTTTGGACTTGCGTAGATCCCTGTTATTTGGACCTCTGAATGCTCGCCCTGTCCCTGGGTAGATGGACACTTGAAACCTTGGATGCTCTTTCCTTTTTTGTTTATAGTTCTTGGGCCCCAAGATTATGTTCCTTTGTCTATATGTCTATTTTTAGCTGGGACTTTTTGCCAATACCATGACTTTGTCTAGATTCTCAGTCCTGGAGTTTTTCTGTCTAGTTTGTCATCCTTCTGCCCAAACCCTTGGGGTTTTTGCCGTGCAGGTGGATATCACTAAGACAGAAGTCGTCAGAATGCCTGTTTGAATAAGATCAGTTTCCTAATTTTACCTCGATAGTTTTCAGGTACTCTATGTTGATTTTCTGTGTACTCTTCTTTTTTATTTCTTTTTATTATTTACATTCTTTATTATTTAAAGTATTACGTAAGTCTCCTTTTCCCCCCATGGACCTCTCCCCAGCTGCTGCCACCTCCCAGCATGTGTGCTCTTCTTTTCATTCCTTTATGAAGTTCAGGCACTCTAAAAACTTATTAACTAGGATGATATTGCATAGTTTTCTTTGATTTAGCTATGATTCACTGAATATTTACTGTGTGTTTTAGTGACATCAGCAAGTTGGAGAAAGAGTTAGTATTTGTAAAGGTTAAATTTATTGGATATGTGTAGTCCATTTGGAGCTGAAATTCATTCGCTTGGCCGAATTTTATGTTAATCACATTGAGTACTGGCCTAAAAGTAAGGTCCTAGCTGTATGAGTGTGGGTGTATGATTTGTTAACTAGGAATGGTCAGTGTTCTTGATTGTGGACAATGGAATCTATGCTAGCTAGTCTAAATAGAAAGAAGTTCTCATTTGCATATAGAATTTTTGGAAAGACCAGACGATTGAGCTTACCATAGATGCCACACAGGCAGAAATAACGCAGCCAGGAGAAATGCTCATTGACACCCAAGGACTGTTTGAGTAGAAGTGCCATCCTGCTGCTGCCTGCCACAAAGTTAAAGATCAGATAGCAGAACCTCTGGAACTTCTGTTAAGTTCCTGTGGATAAGCCATGTATGCCTCTGTGACTGTGTTTGACATGTATGTGGCTTCCAAATTAAAGTGAGTTGCTTTGGTCTTCAAAGTCTTACACAAGTGTGCCTGCATGGTAGAAACTGCATCACATATGGGACCTTAGCTGCAAGGGAGTCCAAGAAATATAGTCTTTAGTTTTCTAGTCTCTACAGTGCAGGAAAGCATGCTAGAATCTGGTATTGTGTAAACTAATCTGTGTTGTCTGCCATAACAGATTAAAGGCTGACAATTACAGACAGACCTCATTGGCCAGTAAACCTTTTCAGTCTATTGCAAATTTAATCTTGATGTACTACCTGTTAGGAACTTAACATGGGCATATATAACATGAGACAGAGTAATGATATTCTTTTAGATTTTTAAGTGGTGGATTTTGACTACTGAATTATGTGCCATATATATATATGGTTTTACATAATGCCCATACATTTGCATATTCATTTGTGGAATGTTATCATTGAGAGCATCAAGTATGGACTGTGCCATATTGTACTCCAAGCTAGTAATATAAAAGAGAGTGAGACAGTCTGTGTTCAGGAAGCTCACAGACTTGGCAGTATTTTTCAACAGAGATGTGCATTAAAATTTACCTGTGAAGTTAAAAAACTACCTGCCACAGGTATCAATCATCAGCATGAAGTTCCCCAATGAGAAAGATAGAGTCCAGGAACCTGCATTTTTAGCAGACTTTCCTGTTGATTATTAAGTATTCTCCCTTGGCAAATAACCACTGGTCTGGTGGGTCATTAATAACCATTTTGTTTTGCCTGGCTGGCGTGGCTCAGTGATTGAGCATTGACCTATGAACCAGGAGTCACGGTTCAATTCCTGGTCAGGGCACATGCCTGGGTTGCGCCCAGTGGGGGGCATGCAGAAGGCAGTAGATGAATGATTCTCTCTCATCATGGTTATTTCTCTCTCTCTCTCCCTCCCCGTTCCTCTCTGAAATCAATAAAAATATATATTAAAAATATTTTTTTTTATTGCTAGTGAAAATTTTTAGGACTACTGTGTTTCAATTTGCAAGTTATTTCCCACTTTGTTCATTTGCTTTAAAAAGTTTTAAAAATGCGTGCTTGTTTTACAGGGGCAGAGTTACCAGGGCAAGTTATCTCCATGGCTGCTTCTACTCTGGCAACCTTGGCCATCTCTATCACAGGGTATGAATCGAGCACTGAAGACCAGCCCTCTACTCAGCCTGCAGGTGACTGACCTTATGAAGGAACTAGTAGCCTGGTGCATGAATTCGTGCACATTAAAAGGAAATTAATAGAAGAAATATTTTCATATTGCTATTCGCCCTTTCTCTATAATAGAAGTGTCAACCAAATTCATGATCAACAATGACAGATGGAAACACACACATGTGATTGGCACCAGCGAGAGCTTTATATATATCACGCATGGGCAAGTCAAATTAGCCTTTTAAGGATGTAGAACAAACTTGCTTAATTAGACCTGTTTTCTGATTTAGCTAAACCCTTTTCAGCCCAGTGAAGCACCTCAACTTCTCTTTCTGGTAATTGTCAGCAACACATCAGTAAATATCAATGGAAGCAGATTATTATTGTAGATCACGCAGGGAGAACAAAGGGTAAAATATTTAACTGCAGCAGTGTTTGACTATATTCTGCACAGTGAGAAAATCTGAAGTCACCATTTTGTTTTGCCTGGCTGGCGTGGCTCAGTGATTGAGCATTGACCTATGAACCAGGAGTCACGGTTCAATTCCTGGTCAGGGCACATGCCTGGGTTGCGCCCAGTGGGGGGCATGCAGAAGGCAGTAGATGAATGATTCTCTCTCATCATGGTTATTTCTCTCTCTCTCTCCCTCCCCGTTCCTCTCTGAAATCAATAAAAATATATATTAAAAATATTTTTTTTTATTGCTAGTGAAAATTTTTAGGACTACTGTGTTTCAATTTGCAAGTTATTTCCCACTTTGTTCATTTGCTTTAAAAAGTTTTAAAAATGCGTGCTTGTTTTACAGGGGCAGAGTTACCAGGGCAAGTTATCTCCATGGCTGCTTCTACTCTGGCAACCTTGGCCATCTCTATCACAGGGTATGAATCGAGCACTGAAGACCAGCCCTCTACTCAGCCTGCAGGTGACTGACCTTATGAAGGAACTAGTAGCCTGGTGCATGAATTCGTGCACATTAAAAGGAAATTAATAGAAGAAATATTTTCATATTGCTATTCGCCCTTTCTCTATAATAGAAGTGTCAACCAAATTCATGATCAACAATGACAGATGGAAACACACACATGTGATTGGCACCAGCGAGAGCTTTATATATATCACGCATGGGCAAGTCAAATTAGCCTTTTAAGGATGTAGAACAAACTTGCTTAATTAGACCTGTTTTCTGATTTAGCTAAACCCTTTTCAGCCCAGTGAAGCACCTCAACTTCTCTTTCTGGTAATTGTCAGCAACACATCAGTAAATATCAATGGAAGCAGATTATTATTGTAGATCACGCAGGGAGAACAAAGGGTAAAATATTTAACTGCAGCAGTGTTTGACTATATTCTGCACAGTGAGAAAATCTGAAGTCATTTTCAAGGTCCACCATTTCTT